TTTCCGAATGTTTATTTTCTCTTTCCCCAGAACAATAAAGATGACAGTGAGTTCTGGCTAAGGGGCCCCAACACCTGAAATACCCTTTGTCTGTGATTGCACTACTGGGCAAGCTATGAAGGAGTGACAAATGCAACCTTCCACTAAAAAGAAAATTTAAAGGAAAAAAGAATCAAGATTATCCAGTGCAAATAATTAAGGAATTAATTAATTAAAACCATTCAATTTTGTAATGACTCAGACACAATAATATGATTGGCCTTCTGTGACCTGTTAGCTAATTAGGGCAGAGTCGTGGCCCCTGGAATAGAAGAGGGCTTTGGTCAATATTCTTACAATTAACTTGTTTTTTGTTTCCTGTTTCAACTAATTTGTTTTTAGGTAGACAAGTGTCAAGCAGGGTACTTGGCCATAGGCCACAGGTAGAGTTCTCAGAGAAAGAGGGCTTGTTCCCTTGGCTTGTCTTCTGCTTGAGTCAGATTTTCACTGGCGTGCGTGATGAAACACTGCCTATTACCAACCCAGATATCGTTCTGACCGAACTCCTGGGTCCAGTATTTTAGTCCAAGGAACATCTTTCTGAAATGATCATTATATATTTTGATTAAAGATTACCCAATTTGGCATAACCCAATTTATCCTCTCATGAGATTCTTTAATTACCCAACCTTCCCTCTCTGTAAGTTCCTCTCTATCTGTAAGGTCTTCTCTATCTAAAAGGATTTGACGGTCTCAAGGCCCAAAATGAAGATGGCAAGAACTCTCTTCAACAATGTTTTTCTATTTTAAAAAGTAATATAGTCACATTACTGAAAATCCCATGCTTACTTGTTAATGAGCAACTAAAATGCTCTATACCTGCATTCATTCGATGGGCACTCAATGAAATCATTTTGTTTGTTTTTTAGATCTCAGTATCAATTGAATAACTTCCAGGTGCCAGGCACTGTGTTAGGTGCAGTCCCATGTCTTGTCTCCTAAATTCGTCACAACAATCCTGAGTAGGGGATATCACCTTCAAGAGAGTTGCTGTGTGTGTGGGGGGCAGGATTATTAAGATGCAGGCCCTGTTCTATACAAATATAGCTAAACCCAATTAAATTTTTTAAAATATCCAATCCTTAGCACCAGTTAACAATTTCTTTGCAAGCTTCTTAACCAAATAGTCAAGCTTCATCTTTGTACAATTTTTCACTCTATTTCTGAAAGCCAGTGGTATCAGTATATGGTACACAAATCCACTCCAGAGCCACTTACTCCTGATGAAAATCTTTTAAAATGCTGCATGCTCTTGATCACAAAGAAGACTAAACCGCATTAGATGATTTGGTCCAAGTTCATCATCTGTAATGAAAGCAATTCAATGCACATAGCCCGCTGATACTGAGATGCTTATTTCACTTTTACATATAGAGACCCTTTGCACTTTCAGGTGTTAGTGGGCTCCATTAACCTCAGAAAGTGGTATTTTGCCACTGTTTATGAAGCAAGTGCAAAGGCTATAAATGAGCAGAGTCTACGATATTTGAAGGTTAATGGGAGAGGAATTCTCAAGCGCATTTTACAAGCAAAAAAGTGAAGGACAAAAATGAAATTATAGAGATATATAATGCTGATGTATTCAAGGCCATAGAGAAAATAATTGGAGAGGCTAAAATGCATTACAATGGTACCACTGTCAGTATTATCCTCAAGACTTTATAATCTTCCTCCAGCCTTCATCCTACAGAGATCAGATCAAACCAGCTAAAGTCAAGACTGGTTTACTTGACACCATTGCTGAGCACTTTGGATTACTCACCTGGTTACTTCTGATATCTGCACCATTATTATTACCCGGACCTCAGTCATCTTTTACTTAAATTATTTAAGAAAACTTGTCCAGGTTAAGCCCTCCTACTTAAAAGAATATTGCCTCATTTTTTTACTAATTTTTCCCCCAAGAAAGAGACTCTGTAGGCAGCAGAGGCTTCTGCCTACTCTTGAGATCTACACTTTAGATCTTTGAAGATCTGGCATGTCTCCATGGATTTCTTTAAATGAAGTGTGATTTTTAAACATTTTAGTTCAGACTTGGGGCAGAATACACTATATTTGCTTACAAAAAAATGAATTAAATTTTAGCCCAGGATACGTGTGGATAAAGCCTATAGATTTTGGCAATGCCAGCTAGGTATATTCGTCAGTGTCTCTAAATCTTTTTTAATGTATAAATGACATTTAAAATCTCCTTTTTCATTGCAGTTGGCAGAGTACCTAAGACCATAACAAGTTGCTTCCCCAACTTAATGTCATTTTCCCTTAACCACAAAGCTATAATTCAAAAACTGTAGTTTTTCTAAAGAGAAGTGTTAAGAAAAAATAAATGCCTCTGGGAATGAAGCCTAGGATTTCCCATCTATGAAAAAAAAATAGTTGTTAAAGAGTGGGGAACTGGCTAGAGGCCAGGGGCCTAGAGTTACTGCTTTTAAAATGGCTTTCCGACCAACTATACCAGAGGGAAGGGTCCTGTGTCTACTCTGGCCACAGTGATTTGGAAGGAGAGGGAAACAAAGAGAAGGTAGGTGGCCGAAGCTTAGGGAAACGCAATGGTTAAGTATATATTCTTTGGAGCCAGAAATCCAGATTCAGTCCAACTTCTACCACTTCCTGACTTTGTAACCTTAGGCAAGTTCGTTGGCTTGTTCGTACCTCAGTTTCTCTATTGTAAAATGGAGGTAATAATACACAGCTGTGTTCGTTTTCTATTGCCGCCTATCAAATTAACACAAACTTAGTGGTTTCTGTGGACACAAATTTAGCAGCTTAAAACACCAAAATGCATTATCTCATAGTTTGTGTGGGTCAGAAGTGAGTCACAGTTTAGTGCCGATGTGTACTATGCTCAGGATCTCCCAAGGCTGAAAGCAAGGTGTTGGCCGGGTTCATCCTCATCTGGAGTCTTGACTAGGGAAAAATCTCCTTCTAAGCTCCTTTGTGTCCTTTCACTGCAATTGTGTGAGTGAAGTTTCCACTTTGTTGTAAACTTATTGTAAATCAAGGGGCCATTCTCAGCTTCTAGAGGCTGCCTACTGTTCCCTGCCATGTGGTCCTCTCCACAACGTGGCAGTCTGCCGCACCAAGCCAGCAGGAGAATTCCTCTTACACTTTGAGTTTCTTCAGGATGGATCCAATCCCTTTTAAGGGCTCACCTGATTAGGTCAGGCCCATCTGGGATAATCTTTTGATTAACTCAGAGCCGACGGATTAGGGACTTTAATAACATCTACAGAATTCTTAACCTTATAAAGTAAAATAATCACAGAGTGATAGCCTTCATATTTATAAGTCCTGTTCACACTCAAGTGTGTGTGTGTCAGAGGGGGATCATACAGGGTATATACACAAAGGGACAGGCAGGAACCTTGGGGAACATTTTAGAATTCTGTCTAAGACAACAAGCTTCCAGGATCCCTTGGGAAGATTGAGTTATAACAAATATAAGACATTTAGTGCCTGACTAAGGATAAGCACTATATAAATTTTTACCATCATTATTTTCTGCAGGCTGGATTTCTTAGGAGGAGACACCGGGTCTAGAAGACCTCTCCAATTATTGTGCTCCTGTGTTAGAAACTGGGATTAAATCCAGGCCTTTGCTGAGCTCTTCAACGTCTTCCTCTTCATGCTATATCCCCAATGGCATCTGGCCTAGGATGACCTTCCTTGCAGCTGTTTCTTCTGCTTCTAAAGCAGCTATTTCAGAACATACTGTACCTCCACCTCCTCACTTTACAACAGGTAACAAATCCTTTGTCATGGGACCACTGTGGTGGGTGGGCTCACCATGTAGTCCTTAATCTGTGCTTGGGGGTGGGAGAAGAGAGTCATGTCACGATAACCAGGCTGCAGACTTTGTCTGCATAAATCCCTGCAGCTGTACAGTCTTGCCTTAGAAGGGGCTGGCCAGCTAGAGCTGGGATCATATACTAGTCAGAAGAGGTTTGAGTTTCCAAAAGCTGCTTCTCTTCCCCCCGAAAGTGTAAATCACAGTTTGAGCCCATAGGCTGGCTGGTCTTGTTAGTTGACCCAGTTCACTCAGATAAATATACAAAACTCCCACACTCAATTTGGGGAAGGAAATTCTTTACTTTGACTCCATATTTCACTCCATTCAGGGGCGTACTTTGCATTCCGAAGGCTGAAACGTGCCTATTTGTCATACCAAGTCTCTCTTTTGTGCACATCTCAGCAGGAAGTCTTTAAACAGAAACTTAAAAATAATAATAACCACCAATCCCTTCTCACTCAGCTGCTCGCCTCCTCAGGGAGTCAGTGAAATGCTGGACAGACATCGCACTGATGTGCAATGCTGGCCCCTGGAAGGTCTAATCCCATTTGGGTATAGAGTTTCCAGTGTTGATTCCCAATGTCAGTGGTGTAAAGCATGTAGGAGGGGAAGGGGACGTGAGGGCAGTGAGTGGAACTATAGTGGCCTCACATCTATATGGTGAGAAATATTGAAATTATATGCTACTGAGTATCTTTACCACGTGTATTAGTTTGCTGGGGCTGCCATAATGAAGTACCACAGGCTAGGCGACTTAAGCAACAAAAATTTAGTTTCTCACAGATCTGAAGATTAGAAGTCCAAGATCAAAGCGTCAACAGGGTTGCTTTCTTCTGAGGCTTCTCTCTTTGGCTTGTAAATTTGTTTTCTCTCTGTGTCTTCACATAGTCTTCCCTCTGTGTGTGTGTGTGTGTGTGTCCTAATGTCCTCTGCTTTTTTTTTTGAAGATTGGCCCTGAGCTAACATCTGTTGCCTCCCCAAAGCCCCAGTGCACAGTTGTATATCCTAGTTGTAAATCATTCCAGTTCTTCTGTATGGGATGCCACCACAGCAGGGCCTGACGAGCGGTGTGTAGGTCCGTGCCCAGGACCCGAACCAGCAAACCCCAGGCCGCCGAAGCAACACATACGAACCTAACCACTCAGCCACAAGGCTGGCCCCCATTTTCCTCTTCTTATAAGGACAGCAGTCATACTGGATTAGGGCTCATCGATACGATCTCATTTTACATTAATCACCTCTTTAAAGGCCCTATCTCCAAATACAACCACATTCTGAGGTACTGGGAGTTAGGACTTCAACATATGAATTTTAGGGGAATACAATTCAGTCCATAATACCATGTATTTCAATGTATCAGGTTCCTTTTTAGTTAAGGTGGGGAGATGTGAATGTTGCCAGTATATTAAGTGCTGATGCTTAGTCTCCCCAACCTTAGTTATTGGCATGCCTTCCATCCTGGGAAACAAATAACTGTGAGAAACAGAGTTGGCAACATAGTGTTGAGTGTTGCTGGGGGCAGACCGGGATTGGGCCTCTGATGAGGCAGACTCATTTTAGAATTTAGATAATCAGAAATAAAATGCAGATTCAAGGCACTGATCACTTTGTCTCTGTATACCTATAGTCTTGAATAGTACCTGCACCTAGTACATATTTAATGAATATCTGTCAAATGAATGAGGAAGCGTTGCTAAAAGAAGGAGGGAAATAACTGGAAAGAAGAGTGAAGTGATATGAAAGGCAAACTTTATAGTTTTTATAAGGGCTTCTCCCTCTAGAAAATGCGAATAATAAAAACAGCATTGAACATGATGTAATCTACACAGAATTCGAAACATGCTATGAGGTACACCTGGAAGTTATATAATATTATAATCCAATGTCACTGCAATAAAAAACAAGAAATAATAATAATAAAAATCAAAACAGCATTGTATTGCATGATGTCATTTTCCCCCATAAAATCTTCATGGCTTTTTAAAACCCAGTCTCTATTTGATCTCAGCACATGTTTGGTGTATAAAAGGAGTTCATTAAACACTTAAGAAACAAACTGGAAGTGCTCTGATAAAGGGATTGTTTGATTACTATTACGATGGATTTTTTCTAATAGCTTAAACAAAAAAATAATCATTGCTGGAATCTAAACCCTGCTGTTTTCTTCCTGATTCTCCGCAAACATAAAAGACCGTATGACAGTATCCTGCTTATATAATAATGCTTTATATCTTCTCCTTTCCTGTTGCCATTGTCTTCTTTTCTTGAAAACAAAGAATCACAGTTCTTTAACATTCCTGAACAATCCCTCTATATTTGTGACGTACCTAACCATTACTTCATTAAATCATGTGACTGCAATGTCCAATCTCATATCGTCACAGGAAGCTTCTCTACAGTATTCCTGAGAAATAAGTATGTCTCTGCTTGAACAATCCCAGTGATGGGCAAGACACCTCCCTGGAAGCCAGTCTATTACCCTCCACTATTGAAGCAGTCTAAACATTAGAAAGGCTTGTCCATTCCTTGTACTTACAGCTATCACCTATAACATCTACCCAATTGTCCTGATTCTCCCATTTGTAACCACATGGAAGTTAAATCCATCTTTTAACTGTTATTTAGAATATTTCAAATTTTCTTTTCTCTAGAAAACTTCTATTTACCTTTTTTCTCCACATTCTCATATTTGTTTTTACAGGTCATTCTGCCAAATAGTCTAGAACAATGAAAACAGAATATATAAAGATTGTGAAATTTTTTGAAGCTAGGAAGAACCAGGAAGATCATCTAATCTAATCAGCATGTTTATTATGGGGAAAAGGAATCCCAGACAACCAAAATATACACACAAAGTTAGAGTCCTAAATAACTGGAGGCTAGAATTAGAATATGTGTTGCTAGTCTCCTTGCCAACAGGCCAGGTGGCTTCTAATTTTCAGAGCTTAATGTTTTCAAACTGTATACATTAATTTCATTCTCATAACATGTACATAAGACATTTTTCATCCTTATTTAATAGATGAGGGAATAAGTCTCAGTGAGTCTTCAGAAGGAAAGCGCTACCTAGAAGAACTGGGACAAGAGTGCAAGTCTTCTGGCCTCCAATTCAATATTACTTGAATATTTCATACAAAATCAATATCTTTCCACTAAAAATTTGGTAGGTACTGCATTAGTGAGAGGCCTAACACAAAACAGATGATACACTCAAGAGAGCTTAACTGAAAAGAATTGAATGAAGGGATTATTTAGAGAGTAGCGTTCTGAGTTAAGGGAACTAAAAAGAGATGGTAGGGCCTCTAGGGAGTAACAAGAGCGAAAAGCCTTTACTACTCCTACGTCTGGAGGAGCAGGGGAAACACAGGGTTTCCAGAGCTTGACATCGCTGGAGGAAGAATGGCTGTCCCAAAGAAGCTGGGTCTTAGAGGAACAGCCACTGCCAGACTGCTGTGCGGCAGGGTGGATGAGAACTGGGGTAAGCACCTCGGACTTCTTTTTCCTCTTGCCCTCCAGTTTCTTGCCAGTGTCTCTCATTAGCCAAATCCATCCAGAAACCAGGGAACAAGGGAGTTTCCTGGTGCTCAGGGAAGAGAAGGGATTGGAGGTGGAGCAGAGAAAACAACCAGTGCAGGTGGAAAGTAAAGCGACATCAATAGGAACAAGCACCTTCAATCAAGCTCCCTTTATAGCTAGCAGTTAACTACGTGATGCTTTTAACAGCCTAAGAAAACTTGAAGGGATGGGAAGATATTCTAGATTTGAGATACTCTAGAATCTTTGAAATGTAACTTTTCAAAGAAAGAAATAAACATCATTTTTTGTTAAAATCACTGTCATTAGAAAGACAAACTGTGTTAAGATGTTTACTATAGCTCTGTTGACAAATGAAACTTGTCTTGTGTCCTCACCTGGCCTAAAATTAATGGGCCTGTGTCTTTATATTCAACTCAGCCTACAGTTCCCTCCTGGGTCCTTTTCAAAATCTGTTCTAAGCACATAAGTGAGCCTGAACTTGTCCTAGAAATTAGACTTTATTTCCATTTTAAGTTGTGTCAGACATTCCATATCAAAGCCACCCCTCCTTTACTTCTCCATCCTTCACTCCTTCTGGCATTATGGATGTGTCCCTACCCCAAAATATATAAATTATTACTTTAGTTACTGAATATTAGCGTTTTTCAGCCTTGAGACTGTTGACATTTTGAGCCAGATAACTCTTTGTTGGGAGAGGGGGGGCTGACCTGTGCATTGTAGCTGTTTGGCAGCATCCCTGGCCTCTGCCCAGGAGATGCCAGTAGCACTGCCCCAGTTGTGACAAGCAAAACTATCCCCATTCACTGCGGAATGTGTCCTAGAGGGTAAACTGTCCCTGCTGAGAACCACCACTGTATATGCTAGAGAAAAGAAACCCAACGCTCCAATTCGTCTGGCTGCACCCAAGCTCCTCCAGCTGCTTTGTATTCACAATGATCCTAGCAAGCTCAATTAAGTCCAGATAAAATGAGGCGAAGATCATAAGTCATTTAAAGGAGAGAAATAATTGAACCCCGTTTTGTTTTGACAGTCAGAAAGAGAAAAACCCATATCCAGGTTCTTGCTTAAGACCAAAAAAATAAATTATGTACACCAAACCCCACAAACTCTAAAATAAGGCTCTCTGAGGTATCAGACTGTGAACTGACTTTCCACAGCTACAATCCCTACCAATGGTGTCATGTGGTTTGTCACGCCCATGTTCAGTCTGAGGAGGCAAGGAAGAAGTGAATCTTCGCAGTGTGGAATCAGAGCCTACAGAGCTGAGTTGCCTGGCTGCGGGGTCTCGGTGCAAACTGATCCATCCGTCTCCCACGAAGAGGAAGGTAGGACCTTCAAGTGATTCTTCTGAAGGTGACTGAAGAAGAATGTAGTCCAAGGACACTTGTGTTTTCAAACCTTGTGAAGTTTTCTCCCCCCAAGGACACTGTTTTCATTTCTCTCTGAGATGTAGGCAATCTTCTTAACCTAAAGTACTGGAGATAATTCAGTTCCAAAATGTTTTATCTACAAAAGAGTTTAGTTGGACAAAATACCCTAGAACAGCCATCAGCCATTCCCACGGGAGAGGGAGAGTTTTTCCTTTGGAAGCACCAACCTGAGGATTAGAAGACTAAAGACTACAAAGGAGGCATAGAGAGATATTTAGTCCAATAGTGTATTTCTCAAAGTTTTGATCACCTAGAGATGGGGAGTGTTACAAATGCAGATTGCAGGGCCACACCACAAAATTCTGATTCAATGGGAGCCAGCTGGGCCCAGGAATCTGCATTGTACGAGCATTGTGAGCCTAATGCAGGTAGTGAACACTGTCTAGAAACAATGACCTAGTCTAACTTTGTCATTTTACAATTGAGTAAACTCAGTTCCAGAGAAGTTGCACTAGCAAATTAGAAATAAAACTAAAATGCAAACCCAGGTCTCCTGGTTTTGCTGTTCAATGCTGCTTCCTCAGCCTCACTATGCAACACATTATGATATGATAAATAACATCACCTCTCAAAATACTGTATTATTACCCACAAAGGCCATGCCTGGAGAATTCAGCCTGCAGACCTTGCTCTTAGAACCAATGACCCAGGAAAGCTGCCCCTGTGAATAGAGTCTGAATATAGGACAGAGGCTTGTGCTGCTGCTGGAATCAGGAGCTGTCCTGTGTTTTGCCATCAATGACTCCTATAGGCATGAAATATAGCGGGAGAGAGGTAGGTAGAAGTATAGAGGTAAGAAGGAGGTTGTGTAACCAAGGCTGTCACCTCCAGAAATCCAATTGTCAGCTTATGTCCAATCATGGGTAACTTTTCTCTGGGGTTCTAACCAATGCTCTGACATCTTCATCTATCATGTGCTCCCCTGGATATTTGTAAAGTTTGACTCAGTTGGTACCAGATCAAACACATTTTTGTTGTTGTTGTTCATCGTGCGTTTATTCATATAAGTGAATCCACATGTCTTTTCCAGACTCCACTGGAGATGTCACAGGTGACTGCTCAGAACTACTATTGCTGTCTCCTTGCAAGTAAATACCTGTTGACACACAAATGAAAGAAAAAGTCTAAGACAATAGTAGAATTTTGCATTTCAATAGAAACTCTGGTGACCCAAGTTGGGATGTTATATTCTTCTCGCTTTCTTTTTCAAGTAAAGACATAAAACATATGACTACCTATTCTCACAACCATTTCACAAAAGAGAAGGCATTTAATCCCCATTAATAGAAAGTAAGCACATAATTTTTTAAAAATTAGTCTTCTGAGAAACTCACTATCATGTCCCGCTTTACTACAGAGAGTGGGAATTTAAGGAAAAAAAAGCACCATCCTTGGACTAACATTTGTGGACCCAATATGACACCTGGCCACACTGAATAAATGGCTTCATAAAAGGATCTCATTGGTGGTTAGCAGAACTCTGGTATAACTGCCCCTCACACCCAGTTTATCTGTTTGTCTAATCAGGGTGTCACAGTTGCCTTATCTGATGACTCTTCAGAATTTGAAGGTGGGATCTCCCAAAAACCAAAGCTGCTCTGAGATGCAAGAAGATCACACTTTTTCTTTCTTTTCTTTTTTTTTTTTTTCTCAGAAACTAATCTCATTAGTGTTCTGTTCTCCTTATTCCTCTGTTATTGGACAAGGTATAGAAGGAAAAATAAACATGACGAGTAATACCAGCTTCTGGATAACGTGAACTTTTCCAAACATTCTCACTACAGGGCAGAACGTGTATTCTTTTTATTTTGACTTCAAAAAGCATTTACTGGATCAACAGCTTCACAAGACAGAGAGAAGGCTGATGCTGCCAGTTTCTCATTATGTCGGTTTTATTGGAAGTAGCATGGAGATAATGAAAGATGTTTAATATTGGTTGCTTTTCAAATGTGGAAATTGCTGTTGTCCACTGAGAAGTAAATGTGGTAAGAAAAGCTGTTTTCAGCTCATAAAGTTGTGGTTATTATTTCATATTTTTAGAGAGCCCGAAATGCACAGGGTGCTAACAATATTTGAAGTGGGGCCAAGCAAATCAAATTCCTGGTCCAAAGCAGGCAGAGCCATATGCAGACCCCATCCAACACCAAACCAACAACTCAAAATAAACATGGTATAGCTCAGGGCCATTGCAAAGGGAGGGCTGAAGGAGGGGAAGTGGTTTTAGGGTGAAGAAAAGAAGGGATCCCGCTAAAGTATAACAAAATAATAGAAACCCTTTGAATAGGTCCTAGAACCTTAAAATGAGTTGTCCAAACAAGCATTTTCTTTAAGAAGCCTTTAACCTTCTAGTTTCCCAGCAGAAAAAACAAATCTACTCCAGGACAATAAATTAGATGTCAAGCGTACACATATATAACACATATCGATGGGGGTACTTTGATCCCTAGTCACAGAGCCATCCCACCCTCATTAGTTATTGAACTGAAAGCCTGGAAAATGACCTTATTTAGAGGTGCAAATACTGCCTTCTCCTTAAGCAAAAGGAAAAACCTTCTAAATGGTGGAGGTTCTTTGAACCTTGTTAATAAATCAGTCCAAGAATAGAGCCCTGTGTTCACAACATGATCAATCAAAAGCCACACACAAAATGGAAAAATCTTCCAGAACAGTGCCAGAGGCCTTATCACAATTGCTTCCTGGCAGAAAGAGTAGATAAACAAGTTCAGGACAAGGCCAACCAAAGACTGGTCCAGAGACCTTGTTTCTTGTTGCTCTAGGTATCAAAATAGGAAGTAAACAGCTTAGAAACAGTTCTGAGAATTGCCTGGAGGAAGTGCTGCTTCCTCTCCTTGCACATGCTAAGTCTGCTTATCTTTCATCCTCTCAGCATAGCCTTTTGCAAGCTGGCTGTGACCCCCTTAGCAAAGAGCATCTTTTCCTATCTGCCCCTGACCTAATGCCATCCAGCTGACCCGACACATCCCCTCTCCTCCCCAGTCAACAAAATGTGATAAGGAAATGAAGGCACAAACAGACTCTACCAATTTCCATGCAATGGTTCCCCTGAAAAATTGCAGACATCTGGCTCATGGAAATATCCACCATACTGTGGTAGAAAGTGGGCACTGAGGCTGGGTAGGTTTCCAGCACCACCCAGGCAGCATGTCGGCATGACTGAACAACTTCATCAGCTTCCTCAGGAGTAACCAATAAACAGCTCTGGAGCTCATTAACTGTTCAGCTTAGTGCTGGTTCCCACCAAAAAAAACATGTAAGCTTATTTTACGAGGAGCCTGGATTTGTGTTACCACCTATCGGATGATTTTTAATGGACCATCATTACTGGCCTGGCACCTGACACTTGTATAAGGCTTTTCATGCATGTACGCCCACAGACATTAATGCATCTGGCTGTCCAAGCCCTTCTGCGAGCCAAAGAAAGCTCCTATATTCACTTGGTTGCCTCTGCTTGGCTTTGCACGTCCTAATTCTAATTCAGGCAAAGGCGTGTGTAAAGTCAGTCCTAGGTCACCTGAGTTCCATATAACCTGAGATTTTCTTTTTTATATGAAACATGAATGCTTTAAGTTGGAGGCAACTAATAATTCACGATTGTCTCAGGGAAATGGGCTAGCTCCCTGGGATAGGTACAATGTCCATCTTGGTTTCTATCTTGGCCTTCAGTTGTCCAACTTCTAGAAAATGTTTGAGACTGGACTGCCTTTCAAATGACTTTCACTATGCTTTAACACTGCATATGCTTTAAAACCACAGAAAATCTGGATTTTTAAAAGATATACAATTATGCTGGGTTTTTATTAGCATAAAGATGACAAATTGTTGGACGTCGTACTTATTTCATATTTTATTTACAATCTAATTCAGTAAATCACTCTTTAACAAAATTTACCAAAAGATCAAACTTTCTGGTAAAGAAGCTGGGAGCATCATGGTTTCTTTAGATCTCTTCAAAGGCAGAAACGGAAAGAACATTTGCATTGCTCTCTATAGAGCACTCATGAGACTGCACAGTCCGTGAGGTATTAATTTTACAGTGTTGATCACAGAAATACTATTTTTCTGTGGTTTCACAGTGAACTACTCATATATAGCATCATATTAGAAGTCAATTTAGTAGGAGCTTTATTTATGGAGACTATTTCAGCCAAAATGTATGCAGAAAAATTATTGATATTATGATTTGGTTGGAGAAGCAAAAACACATCCTAAATGAAATTTGAATTTCATAAATGCTGCTCTATGGGTGAACAAGGAAATTCACTTGGATTGAATATTTAATTTCCCACATTGAACTGTTAAGAATTCATTCTTTCTTCTCTATGTATTGCATTAACAGAAAATATAGGAGCTCTCCAGTGGACAAAATCTATATCCTCTTGGAGGAAAACTGAACTGACTGAGAGTCAAAGGACTGAGCAGGAATAAGAGTCTCTTATGAGAACCATGAGTGAAGACTTGACAAATTCAGGTGTCAGCCTCGGGTCCTTCAAACTACTGCAGGTGAGCAGTTACTTAGGGACAGAGCAGGAAGAAGAAAGTGACAGCTCAACGCCAGTCCTAGACATACACATGGTCAATCCATAAACTACATCTCTATGTTTCTCTTCTTCAGCTGTTTCCCACTCTTTCTCTCCATCAGTAAAACAAAACCAATTCCCATCAGTTAGGGTGAAACCAAGAAAACAGGAATGGAGGAATGTAATAGAGGTAATTCTGTTACACGGGTTGAAAGAAGGACTGAGAACCAAAACAGGGACTGTAAGGTAACCCAGAGGTTAACAAAAGCAAGAAACTGCCACCACCCTAAGCTAGAGGATCGAATACGCAACTACAATGAAATACCCAGATTGACTCATTAATACCTAGTCTCAGTTACATAAGGGAATCCGTGTGGCCGTATCTGTCCATTCCACATTATCACTCCTCCACATCTCTCTCTGTCTCTCTCTCTGGGGAATATCTCATCATTGAAAGAGGAAGATGAGTTTGGACAGTGAATGCTTTATGAAATGAAAGTCCTCAATGAACTAAAAAACTCTAATCTATGAAAGTATAACTCCCTTAGAAGGATGCTGTGCTATCAACATCAGTGGTTTCCTTCTGAAGTCTTAATAAGACAAGCTGAGGAAATATGAAAAGTAACACGTACTTTCGTTTACTTCCACTCAGTCAAAATATAGAGCAATGGTTTACATATCTTCAACTTTTCTTACCAATGCTTTAGAAGTTCAGACTATCACTACAAGTTTCTTTCATTTTTGGAAGAAAAAATTTCAATCTTTAAATTAACTATGTTGGTCCTTTTGCCTGGACCAATAACAGGCTGGAACCTGTTATCCAATTTGCTGTAATTCCATGCCAAGAGAAATTATCTTGTCTCATTAACAGTACAATAGTGCCTATCAACTTTACAAAACATGTCAGTCAACACTCAGGTTGACTGAAGGAGTAGTTGGATGGTCAAGACATATTTTAGCCTTCAATTTTAGTGTGTAAATTAAAATCATAATGGGTCACTCCATTACAATGCAACTGAATAGCATGATGTTTACAACTGGATTCTAGTGAATCCAATTGAGATTTCTGCATGGTCTCCACCCTGGAAAACCAGCCTGAATTCTTGTACTCAGGCCAGATTCCAACAGACATCATAATTAGATCCCAGAAGAATACAGTGCAGCTGAAGAGGATGTCCCCTGCAGAATTATTTGGAGGAAAGGCTGGCCAAAGCAATGTTCACATTCATGCAATTATCCAGTTAATTGCACAAGGTGAATGGAGTCAGCATAATTATGGCTAAATTCATGATAGGATTAGGCTAGTCCTGGAAAAAAACAGTGTATTTTGAGAAAGAAAACATAATGCTGGGGCAGACTCTCCATCAACATACAATGTTTCATTTCTTTTTGCAACACTCAAGTGAAAGTTCATTGAAACAAAGGTTTTAGCAGATCTCAAAGCATAACGGGAAAGGGACCAAGTGCAGATATGACACATTTTGACCAACTCTCTTATACCTCCAACTGGTCCTTATTATGAAGTACAGAAAACATTTTGGGGATTGGGGGGTTGGGC